GATCGTTTGAGCCGGCTTTGTTTCCACGTCTGCTAGCCACGCATATTCGTCCATATACTGAGTACTCAATCCAAGCCTGGAACCCATGGTTGCAGCAAGATCTGAAGGCACTCGAACATCCACAAAGAATGGCTACCAAAATGATCAAAGGTTTGCATTCCAAGACCTACGGAGAAAGATTACAGCTCCTGGGGCTATACTCATCCCAATATCGTCGAATCAAAGGGGATTTGATTTTACTCTATCGNTCTGTTGGTTTTATCGCACAACGTTCATCTCATAGGGCACCCGCTGAAGTTGGCACACCAAAAGAGCCGTCTCGACTGCAGACGTCACTCGTTTGCAGTAGATGTGCAGCACATGGAACTCTCTACCAGCTCACGTTGTCTGTGCCCCAACATTAGTATCATTCAGGCGTCAGCTTGATGATGTCCTGGAAACCGTTACATTTCAACACCCAACTACGTAACATATTCTCCTGTGCTCGTCAAAACATTAATTTACTAATTTACTTTCATGGACTAACTGTGATATTGTGATTCTTCATCCGAACCAATATGTAAACACCCTGTGGGATTTGTAAAAGCGAAGTCTTTGTAAGTTATATCCCATAATAAAAATTTGAATTTGAATCTCTCAAATAGTTTGAGCAAGACTGACGTGCAGGCTATGGGACGATGTTTCCCAGGTTTCCTTTTTGGAACGGGAGTTTTCTTGGCCAGTCTCCAAATATCAAGCTTTTTTCCGCTTGTGAGACAGTCGTTGAATATTTTTGACAATGCGACTGAAAGGGTATTCGCAGATGTTTTGAGTACTACTGGTGATAGTTCATCAGGGCCCGATACTTTATTCTTTATTTATTATTCTTTATTTATTTTTAGTAGCTGTTTCAGGACTGTGGCGGATTCGATAGTTGGTGTTGGCATAGAGCTGAGTAAGTCTGACAGGACAGTGCACCGTTAAACTGGACTAAACTCAGAATTTAGTCTTTCAATATCAACAGTTTCCTGTTTGTGTTTACGGATACTGCCACACAATTACTTAGCCGAACTCCACATGCCACGACAACTAGAGTTTCCCAGGATAGTGCGATGTACAGTTTGTTCAACCGATTTATTTCAGCTTTCATCGAAATTGTTAGCCGCTTGACATGGATTTTTGTCCTTGTTTGTAGGCTTGTTCTTTCCGCCTGCGTAACTGCTTGAGTAGCGCTGATGAGTATCTGTCTTTATGGATAAAACCGTTTATAGTGGACAACACTGGTTAAAACAGAAATTAAGGTAGTCCGTAACATGTTCGCAGAGGACAGAAGGGTTTTGATCGTGAAATACCGAAAAATCCGTGGCGGCAATCATGGATCCTAGCTTTTCTATGTTCTCTGATGAACAGTTTCTTTGATTCAATATATTGTAATGCCTTCTTAAAAATCTGTATCGGTTGGTTTTGCTGTATACAGTGGGACATACTTTTAAGATAAAATGGTCTGAAATGCTCAGGGGAGCGTGTTTCTGGGCTTTAAAACATTGTGGTCTGTTTGTGAAAACAAAATCAAGCTGTGAACTCAGTCTCGTAGGAAAAAGTAGTAATTTTTGTAGACCTTGTGTGGTGAGGAATGTTACATTATATCTGTCGAAATCACCCACAAATATACACGAAGAGTCAATTGTTTTTGATATTATGGAGGTAGAAAAAATGTCAGAAAAGCTATTTATGTTCGCAACTGATATTGCAGGTGACAGGTAAAAGTTTCCAAGAAGGATGGAATGAAACCCACTCAAAAACCGGGGCTTACATTCAATGACATGACAACTGGTTTTAACCGTTGAGTATTCGTAAATGACAGCAGTTGATTTGCTACAGTTTTCGCTGACCTTACTTGCAACACCTCCACCTCGTTTACGGTCACTCGCGGAGCGGTCAACCCGATATAAGTTATATCCATCCACCTGGAAAATTTCACTAGGGATTTCTTCATGTGACCACGATTCCTGAAGCATAATAATTCCCAGGATTTTGTACTCCTTTTTCTTTGTGGTCTACTACCTCCTGGACGTTTCCTAACAGAGAACGAACATTGCTTCGTAAAATGCGAGGAATTTGCATTTGACTAGTGCTGCACTGTCTGAAAGCGACTTGCTAGCCTGATCGATGCTTTCTCTTTCCGCCGTTTTGTGTTTTAATCGTCCACTTGAATTTGTCTCACATTATTGGAATATTTCACAAAAGGTGCAGTTCACGCGATAACACAACGATTTCATGAAGGTGCTCGTGTAGGATGGCATTTGGTGTATGTGAAATTGATAACAATGCGAATTGATGACAAATAATTCCACAAAAGTGTAAATATGATTTTCGAGATAAATGACGAGGCCGAATTGGAAGTCCCAGCGAGATTGTTAGAAGTTCCATTCAATAAAAATAGATAATAAGTATAATATTTTGATGAAGCTAATTTGGGTGCCGTGAACCATATGCTTGGTAATAAGATTCATTGTTTCTTAACAGATCATGTATTCAGTAGTTTATCTAAGATTCATTCATCAAGTTATTTTCGACAATCACCAGAGCTTAAGTGGTCTGTCCAAATAAAAGTAAGCTCAGATTTCTTTGAATACCTTATACCAAAGCACATTGAATGACTAAACTACTGTTTTGAGGCGAAACCCTGTTTGATTTGCATTCGTTTTCTTCAAATGTAACCGTCACGAACTTTGAATCTCGGGTTGTAGCCAATCGCCGAACAGTTGTTTTACACTGTTTTCCATAATGTAATATTCAGTCAATGAAAACTAGGTAATAAATACCGTTCATACAGACCAGTCTATTGCATCTCACTAGACAGTGCATCGATTAGCCCAAAGTAGCGCGTTCTTCGTGTTCGTGAACAACACTAATTCACATTCGCTGCATTCTGATAGAGTCTACTGGCTATAAACAATCTGAGTTACTGGTTAATTTGGCGTTGCCTGGGTAATAACCATGACAATGATGCAATTTTTACCGATATGTTTCCGCGTTAATAGCGAACATGAATCTTACATAATCTGTAGCGTGCAGCGAAATATTTCTGGATACATGCAATGCAGCGTATTATTTATCCAGCTTTATTATGGGAAAACGTTCTTTTAATTCTTCCATGAAGTGTCTGTGGGCTTCCGTACTTAAGTGCATTCACCGGTTTTGGCGGAATGACGGCACAAAATTGCCATTCATTAGAGATTGATTCGTTTTGTTAGTATTTGGAGCAAACAGAAAACATTCCTAGTTCATTATTGTAAAAGGATCACTGCTGAAACGCATCAATCTACTTAGAAAATCCTAGGAAATCGTGCAGTTTCTAGCTCGACAGTTAATTGAAAAACAACTGATTTACCCTATCGGATAGAAACATTTCCGTTTTTAATGAACTAAAATTTGTTTCATCGAAAGTTAATTTATTTTTTTACCAAGGCTATGAAACTAGCACAGCTTCGTTTATCCCAATAACTCAATCAGTTACTGAATTACAACTTGATAGGCCGACGTTTCCAAAGAAACTACAAACCCGTATTCGAATATACGAATTTGAAATTTATTATATGTAATCCCATGTTCGGCCTTGGTTTTAGATACTGTATTCCTCCTAAGACGTTCACCGTGGTGGATTCAAAAGCTCATGCTGAATATTTCTGTGGTCACTAATCGTCAAGAATTTAGATTTCGGCGGATATTGGAGCATAGTTCGAATCAAGACTTGTTGATGGGAACAACAACAAGGACGCATCGCATTCCGAAAGCATAATTTTAAAGATGATAGTCTTATAAAGGTCTCCCGATTGTTCAAGCACAAAAAAAGATTCGTCAATGTAGCACCCGCTGAAGGATACGGAGTCGTCGTGAAGGAAAGTGAGGTCATACCAAAAGTGGAAATCATTCTGGATTATGCATCCAAATTTCAAAAACATATCATGGAACACAATATAACAAGCTTCTGAAGGACGATCTCACAAGACTTAGTGTTGTTAGTTACTATTCACATTTGCAGATAACATGTAACATATTTGGTGAGTACCTTCAATGAACAAAATCAACTAGATCACCGAGAGACATTTTGCGGATATCAAAGAAGAAACATCGATTTATTTATTTAGTACCCATCGCGTGGCAGGGACTGTGAGAGTAGGTTTCTGATTGGATCTTAGCATTATGTATGTCATATCCGTGACGTCCCATCTGAAATCCTCAATGGATAGTTGTCCTCGAACAGCGCCGCCTTCTGGAATTATGACGAAAAAATCACTAATCGAAGGGTGATTTATTGAGTATTTCACGGCAGAACAATGCCAGCATCGTGTGTGGCAACAACCCAGTCCATTCAGTAGATATACTATTAGAGCTACATTCAGGCTCAAAGATATCTGGTTCCACAGAATACCGTTGCATTTCAATGGATTCCTACTGATAACATACAGATGCGATATACTTTTGATGTAGGAATTTATGGCATGCTAAGAGTTAGCCGATTAAATTGAAACAAATATGCAAGACGCTCTCGGTTTGTTTGAGGAGCCTCAAAATACTCAACTAATCCATTGGACCACAATTGATTTATGGATAAATTAGCTTGTTGCAACATTCACCGTTTCCTGACAGCGGACGTTTGCAACTTGCCGGGTAAACCGTTCGAAAAAATGATTTCCCTGCGTTCCTTGGATACAAAATTATCAACACAAAACATAGTACTGATGCAAAACAATTCTCCATAAATCGTGACGTCAGAACGTGCTCATTTTAACCATTGAGAACCAATAGTCTTTACATGATTTCTAAGATATACAGGTTCAGCAACTACGTGTGACATATCGGAGTTGAAGTAGTCTAACAATCACGCGTATCATAATAAAAATAGTAACCGATCATCGACATCTTTTCAAAAATGAATGCAACACACTATAAAAAAAACAGTTGATCCTGGCTCATTGAAAGTCTGAGAAAATGAAATCAAATATCATAAAATTGCTGCTTATTGCTATCTGTATCAGCGATAATGTCGGTAAGTAAAGCAGGTTCCATGCGACAGTCTTTCAATCATCAGCTGCGAATTGTGAAGAGGTTACGGCCTCAGGCGAAACAAAGAGCTTCGTTGTAAAAGGGAGTGGCACGGGCTGCCAGTACCGTGTCAAATCGGATTCCGGTAAAGCGGTGAAGGTCTACGTCAATGTAAGTGAACAAGAACGTTTTCCAGTAGAGATGGAACACTGAAGATTGGAACATTGATCGTTTCATTGCAAACATGTTGATTCACTTCCAGGAGACGAGTGGAACCAATTGTGTGAAGGCGACTAGTGGAGATAGATCAGAAACTCTGTGTCCAAAAGGTGCAACGACTGTATTCACATCCACCTCGGCGATTGATGTGAGTGCGGACTCCGTCACGACTACTACAGCCGCTGCTACAACCACAGTAACACCTACAACTACACCAAATCCAATTCAACCACCATCAGAAAATGGGGAGGGAAAGAAAGGTAGTCAAAAAGACCCGGGTGCTGATGAAAAAACATCGAAGGAGAAGGGGGCAGAACCTCAAGGAGATAAGAAAAATGGAAAAGAAAAATCGGCGGAAGAAAATGGGACATCAGTGGAAAAGTTACCACAGGAACCTCCGATTGCTGCTGCTAGTCGCCTAATGAGACAAGCTAGAGATATCTCAACCAGCGCTGCATCTAACGACGTAACGGTGTACTACGTGTTGGGTAAGTATGAAACAGCAATTAGATATGCGTGGAAACAATTTACTCAATCATATTTTGGAGTGTTATTTTTTTCCATCCCTTGAATACTCAGAATGCCTGACGCTATCAATAATCCATTATTTCCCCGTGTGTTTTATTTCAGATGGTGTTTCCAAGTTCAGCACTTCATGGCTGATATTCCTAGGACTATTTGCACATCTGCTCAACGGCGACTTATGGTTGGTTGCAAATAATATTAAATGAACAGTTTATTTGATTATTTTGCCGTGTATACTTTTCTTGTATTTATTTACAAAGAACTGATAGATGTGGGTACCTTAAAGGATCCTTTTTATATTTTTTTATTCTTTCCAGAGCAAGATAAGAAGCACACGGGGCTCAAACGTCAAAATAACAAAATGAAAAACGTGTATACTACATATAAAGCAGCAAAATGCAATACTCATATGTTACACATATTTGTTGTGAGTAATCCGTTTTGCCGTTTTGCTGAATCCGGTTTACATTAGTGACCTTTGGTCATTATGTTGATTGATTTCTCCCCCTCGTGTGTTTTGGCCGCTCCACAAACCTGTCACTCTTTCACCCAAACATGATCTGAATGTATGTACACATTTGATGAGATTACCACAAAATATTTGAATTCAACACATCCTGAATCATAAAACCTGTTCCCTCTATCATAGACATTTTAAAGAGAACTGGTTGCATGCAACATATTGCAATGTCCAGTCGATACAATCTTCCGAGGTTCCTCACCACTGTTTTGGTTTCATCCTCGCTTGTGGACGTTCCATCATATGTTTTTGGTTATGCAGGAGCTTCATTTGTCCCTGGACTATAAGCGCATACAACGATTGTTGTTCAGACGAAAGGAACTCGCTATTTGCACTCACTCACCATACAATCTTTGCACAACGGTTTAGACTTTTATTGTTTGACAGTTTTTAACCACCAAACGATAGTGAGTCTAGAAACAAAGTATTTCGACACACAAAGCATGAACGATAAGGTACCTATATTGATATATTTTTGACAATAATACCAGCCGGGGTGGATGTGTAATTTAGGGTAACTCTTTGAAAAACAGAACTTATAATGTGAATAACTCA